GTGATTTTATTATTGATCGCCATCTATGCGAATCGGAATGCTAAATGTTAATTAGTTTTTGCGAATAAAAATCATTTATTTTTATAATGAATAATATTAAATATTGTTCAAGAATTCAAATGTAAACAAATTAAAATGTTGCTGTGTTCATAATTATGCTTTGTAGATATTATAAATTTTGATCAAAATAGCTAAACTAAATGAAGTGAGCGTATCAGTATAGTCGGACGTGGTCATCCATGTGATACCCTACACAACTGCCACTGAATTCTAACTTCTTGCGGAATTATATTTCGAGCTTGGAAAATAGTTTTCGATAACAGCACGCTCTTGACCGATTAGAGGTAAACGACTCATCATTCTCAATCTTGGACATTTGCCGATTCATATTTTGCCAGGGTAAACATTTAAATCATAAGATTCAAATTTTCTTTGGTTACACACAAACAGCCAAAAAATATTTAGTATCACAATCTAGGGAGGAGGATTAGCAATTTTTATCATTAAAGAAATTTTGCAATGCAAAACGGATGCATTAAAACTTCATAACCAAGCTCCCCAAATTTCCTGCGAGTGACTGTAGATGTATGTGGCCTAGCGTGTCCACGACACCTCTCTTGTTGGCCAATTCTGACCGTTTCTGGTCAATTGCTATCTTCAAAAGTCATATGGCACCTAGAGGTCTTTACCTTGTATATATAAGGCAAATAGACAAAAGTCTAATGAAGCCAATCAACAACTTCAAAACTGACAAAATAAACCATTACAAAAGTATTTATGATTCCTGAAAGTACCACAGTCAATTAAAGATATCACAATTAGAGTTAGGTACAATGGAACTATTCCGCAAAAAAAAAAAACGATCAGAACAGTTAATCTGGATCGCTTTGCTCCAGCCGTTCCTTTGTGCTGTCGTTCATCTAGTTCCTTCATATTCAATCCTTCATCTATACCTTTCCATACATTGAACGAATTAACTGACGTGCACCACTGAACGATTGAACTAAAAGGAACTTAATGAACCTAGTTCTTTTTGGGGAGTGAATCAAAAACATTGAACGCTTCAGAAAAGATATTGGCCAACTCTAATCAGAATATTCTTTATGGGCTCTCTAAGAGACTTCATATGGAGCTTAAAGGACTCAGAGGCTTTAAATGCCATACAAATACCATAATTTCATCTATCATTTATCCGTCTAACCCATCAACAGTACCGGGCCCGGAAGACCTCACAAGAGCTTTCATATGTCATTAAAGATATTATTATATTCCATAATGACCCCAGATGCCCTCACAAGGTCCTAGAACGTTTAGAATATTATTTAACAGGTAGGCTGCGATTTTAGAAAGTATTTTTGGTCCTTCGATCAAAACTAAAATGCCATTAAATGCGAAATACTTAAAAGCACTGCCCTATGAACCCTAAAAAACGTTGAGTGGGTCATATTTATCTTACACAAAGTTTTGTATAACTAGTACACACCTACTATAGTTAGATAATAGATTTGGTCCTTCGATCAAAGTAAAATCTATCTCATAACATATTTTTGGTCCTTCGACCTATGTAAACTACCTTGATGTGCATATATACAGGCATATGAACACCAAACAAAAAAAATTGAACTGAACCATAAAATATCTCACAAAATTTTCAATAAGCTATAGAGTGCTATTGAAGTCAGGTGGTATTTTCTTCGAAATATTTTGGTCCTTCGACCTCGGAAATCTTTTTATAAATACTTAATTCCTTGTACAAACCTTCTTATAGACCTCAACAATTTTGGAATGGTCGAGGAAACTTGTATAAGCAATAGGGACCTGGCGAAACTTATATGGTCGATAAAATAATTTATGGGTGCTTCAAAGATAAATATAACACTGTGTGTAGCTTATATTACCCATACAGATCTATAGCAAGTCAATATGGACTTTATGAAACTTCAGAGTTCACAAAAAGTCTTTGGTGATATCTAACACTGAGTATAGCTTCTATTACCCATAAAGATATATAGCAAGTCAATTTAGTACCTTACAAGACATATATGAACTGTATGAAATGTCAAAGTTCCAACAAGTTCTTGCTGATGTCTGAAGGTTTTTGGTCTTTCGACCTTAATAAAATAGCAATAAATATAAAATTATGTATATAAAACCCTTCATAGTCCTTCGACATAGAAAAAATTTCATAAAAGATCTAATTGACAGTAGAGATCAGTTTGGCCATATGGAACCAACTCATAATAAATAATCCCCTTCCAGTCCCACCAAATGTATAGCAAAACTTTCCTTGCCGTTAGTCCTGGTTTGGCCACCGTTTGAAGTGCTTCACCACTCTTTAACCATGATCGTTTTCTCAACTGCAGTCACCATCGGTTTAAGAAATGGATCTATCGCATTCCGTTTGACCATGGCTTCGCAGATGGAAATTCGATCCGTCCTTCTTTTTCTGTTAATTTGTGTGACACCCAAACATCGAGCTTCTTTTTAAAACAGTTTTATTGTCGATTTTTAGCTCCTGGGCGATGTTACGACTGCTAACATGCCGGTTAACTTCGATCATTTTTCCCCAAAAAATTTCAATAGGGTTAGATCCTGCACCAAATAAATGAAAAATTAATATATACGATCTGTGTTTTTTAGTAATTCCATGTATATTTTCGAAATAAACTGTGGGCCTATTTTTTATATTGCAAACAAATGCACACTGTACCATAGTGCGATGTGAGTATAAATGTGATATTGAAAATTGAACGAAATTCAGATGTTTCTCCGAGTGAGTTTTATTTATCCACCAAGAAACAGGAATACCAAATTACAGTCAAAATACTTAAAATTGGGTGGGACGTGTTTATAGGGGTATATCATGTTGACAATTTTATGCAACTTCCTTGTCTGTATTAAATATCTCCATCGCTTTTTTGGATTACTTCAAAATCCTCAAAAATCGCCTTCAAAGCATTCGAGTGCTTTCGACAAATTACATTCATATTTTAACTCAATATCTCTACTCAACAAATTCTCATTCCATTAACTGCATCTTAACATAATTGAAATACTCCTTTTCAGTGATAATGCAATTCAATTTCTATTATAATCAGTTCGATTAAATTCTTAAAGTATTGAATTACTATCGATATGCAAATACCCCAAAGAACTCTTCAAATAAAATTACTCTTTTCATTGCCATGCTTCAAAAATTCCTGGAAATGTTAAAAATCACTTGAGCATGCAATTGAAGAACAGCAAACAAACCAAAACAACCGACGGACAGACAGACCAACCGAATTGAATTTAAATGGATTTGCCCATCATCCACACAAATGGTTAATTAATTGATTTATCACTCTTTAAAAATTAATTTGTACAACAGCACAATGCAATAAATTGGTTTTGTCTAATCGAACATTTTGTAAATTAAATTAATGTTAATGGTAATCGTAATAAAATGTAGTAGTAATGAGAAAACGATTACGATTTGCGGTTGATAAAATTCTAATGCGATAATTCGTTCATACATACAAATATACTAAAAATGTCGATAATAATAAATATATCAAATATTGCATTTGTCTGGGATTAAAATTAAGTCGATTTATTAGGATTCAAAAGGAAGGACGGAATTATATGGAAGACAAACAAATTTTTTACAAAGACAAACACAGGCATGGATTGTTATACCCTACACAACTATGTTGTCAGGGTATTATAGCTTTGTGCAGACCCAAGAGTTTGTAACGCCGTGAAATATTGATCCTAGACAAACCTACCGATCGTCATATCTCGACTAGCTGAGTCGATATAGACAAGTGTGTCCGTCCGTTTGTCCATTATAATTTATAAACACGATACAGACCATAGTTATGGACCCATCTTCACGAAATTTTGCATGGAAGATAAGTTCGGCCCAATGAAGACCCCTATTGTTTTTGGTAAAGATGGGTGAATATTTAGGGGATAAAATGGACCAAATACTTAATTTTTGTCCGTTTTTCCGGTCGCTCCAGAACATTGCGAAATTTTACATGGAGTAGGGGATCGGGCCAAAGAATACACATGCCTGTTTTAATAAGGATTTGTCAATATATAGCGGGTCAAATGGACCCTGACTTTTGTGTGAAAAATTACAAAACCTGTATTCTATAGCGTATATATTTACCCTTAAAGGACATAGACCAAAGAAGTTGATAGTATAGCCAAGGGAAGTGGTTGACCGCTAAATTGATACCAATAATATTGTCCTAAGTACTCGGATGTGGGAGTCACACTTAAATATTTACAAGTGCTTACGTATTCCGATATTATTTAGTAATCCATTACCACACTAGAGGTCGAAAAAATAGCGCTGATCGTTTTGAAATTTGCCATGAGGATCCAGATATGGTCGAGGACAACGCCTATAATTTTCGGTGATGATCAGATAATAATATTGGGTTTAAATTTGACCAAAAACTTTTTTTAGTGTGTTTTTTCGAGTCGATCTATAGGCCACAATTGAAAGCCGAACATCACAAATCTTAAATATTGGAAGGGTTGTACTGGATTTGTTGACCTCTAGTCGGTCAAGACGGTGCAAATATCGTGAAATATTGCCCAAACTCAGAATATAGAACCACAGAAAGTTAAAATGTCGTGGAAGTTGTGTAGGGTATCATATGGTCGGACCCGTCCGACTATACTGCTCCACTCACTGGTTTAAAAATATTTTTTTCAATGTCCTACACAGGCGTGGATTTTTCAAAAATATATTTTTTTAAAGGCTAGACCACATAATGGTCTAATGGTTCATCCCTAATGAACCTAACAATGTTTTTAATTTTTAAAAATATATTTTTTCCTAGCTGAACTTAGCGACTCTTATGTCACTTCAATTAGTCCTCGAACATATAGACTATTTTTTGTTATTAATTTGTCTTTTTTTATTTTACAGCGAATCGAAAATGAAATTAATTTTTATTGTCACACTTCTTGTACTCAATGTCTCCCAATCATTTCATATGGAAATGAACGATAATGGTGGAGAAAGTCTCAACACACTGTCGTCAATCGACGACGATAGACCAGCACAATTTGAGGAAAGGACTGGGCATCGGGCGAAACGTGGCATATGGGATTTCTTTCAGAAAATGATTATAACCAAGAATCTAATAGTAGAGGTAAGTATATACATTTTAACTAAAGACTATATAAAGCCAATATAATTTTTTATTTATTTTTATTTTTACAGCAATATACCGATACGAGAGATACATTAAATGAGGTCTACAATATGTTCAATAGTCAATTTTCGGATCCAGCACCGGAAAAACCAACACCACGCAGTACAAGCACAGAAGCACCGGTTTGTATAATTGTGTCCAAATGTTATGGGAATTTACAAAAAAAATATAATTTCCTATTTCTGTACACCTCGAATCTTTATTAATTGAAATCCGGACTTAATTAAATATTTTTTGATTTCAAAAAAATAGGTTATTTTTTCATAATAATAATCTTAATTCTCTATTATTTAATACAGAAATCCAGCAGCGAAGATAGCACGGATAGTTCTGAAATGAAAACCACTACCGAACGTTATCAAATATCACGCTATGAATTCGGTCGCATACTTGGACGTAATTTTAGAGGTTTGAAGCGATTGACGGAAATCGAATTTAAGGATGCATTCAATGTGAGTAACAACATTTGAACATAAATAGATTCCTATTATATTTTTAATATCTTTATTTCTTAGGCAACCAAATACAATTTGGCTGAATATCGAGCTGAGGCCAGTAAACAATTTGCCAACAGCTTAGCGGCAGAGAAGAAGAAACAATTGAAGGCACTGGTGAAAGGATAATAACGTTGAAAATGATAAATATATTTATATTTAATTTCTATTGGGTTATAGAATTAAGTATGGTTAGGTAGGGGAATACAAAATTTTGGTAAAAAATGATTTGAAATTTCATTAAATTTTGGCTTATTGTATAGCAATAGTTCTGCGAATATGTTAGTTAGTTTGTAAATGTAAATTGTCCTTAAGCTTAATTAATGTGTATAACATTTAAGTGTAAATATACGAATATGTATAAAATTGTCTGTCTGATTTTGATATTTGAAATAATAACATTTATTTAAATACTTGGCCACTATCTTTAAATGTTTGCTGTGATAAGCTCTAGTTTTTGTTTTATATTAGCTTGAAATATAATTTTTGTAAATAAATATAAAAATATTAAGATAAATTGTAAATTTAGTTTTATTGCCTCTAATAGAGCACAACAAAATAACATTCAATATTTGCTAGAATATAAGCAAAATATTGATTTGAAATATTCATCGAAGACCTCATAATGTATATAATTCATTTAAATCAAAAGTCTTGCCGGCCTGTCGTTGAATTCCCGATAGAGCTCTCAATATTCTATATTAATAAAAGAGTAAATTGATCGACTGACTGTCTTAATGATTCATCAACGCCCTTGGGAAACGGCTGAAGCTAGAATTTTGAAATTTGGGATGAGGATCACTCTTAGTCCGAAGGCGTCAGATAAGCCTGGGTTTTTTGAAATTCATAAAAATTCGAAAAGTACTAAATATGTATTTGGCGAACGGGTGGAGCTGGAACTCTGAAATTTGTATTGAGAGTCATTGATGGAGTGTAGGATAGATGTACCAAAGGGCTTTTTGGAAATTCGAACTATAAGTATCCGAAAAATATTAAAAATTACAATTCGAAATTCGTACTATTGTGTACTAAATTTGGTATAATTTGAATTTTGATTGTGTACTAAATTTGGTATAATTTAAATTTTGATTGCATCAATAGAGCTGTAATCCTGAAATTTGGATCACTGATAACTGTTGTGATGTAAGATTGGGGTATGTAGGATGTTTTGGAATTTTCTACAAATCTGTACAAATGGTACTAAATGTGGTACAAGTAGGATTTAGGGTAAACTGAATCCTGGAATTGGGAAATAAGATTTGTATTGGATTGTATTGATACAATTTAGATTTAAGTGATCCGGTAGAGATGAAGTCCTGAAATTTGGAATTAAAATTACTGTTCAAGAGTAGGATTGGGGCATGGGTGCAGTTTTGGAAATTTGTACTTATCGTACTAAATTTGATGCAATTTGGATTTAGGTGAACCAACAGAGCTGGAATTCTGAAATTTGAAATTTAGATTAATTTTGGAGTGCAGAATTGTAGTATGTGTGTAGTTTGGAAAATTCGTGCTTATGTTAATTTGGTACAATTTGAATTTTAGGTGAGCCGATAGAGCTAGAATCCTAAAATTTGTAGTTAGTACATATTACTAAATGACACTTTATTGGATTTGGATTTATAGTTAACCGATACAGCTGGAATCCTGAAATTGGATAATAAGATTTCCCTTGGATTGCATGATGTAGATAGCAACGGAAATTGGTTTTTATATGTACTAAATTGTATCAAATATTATACAATTTAGATTTAGATGAACCGATAGAGATTGAATCCTGACATTTAGAATTAAGATTTGGATATGTGGGAGGTTTTGGAAATTCGAACTAATTTATATTAGAGTGTGCTAACTGGTACTAAATTTTGGTTTGGAGGAACCTATATTTACCATTTGGATTTTTTTGGAAATTAGTGTTATAAGAGTACAAAGGATAATAATCATACCAAATTTAGTATAGAGCAAGATTTATGTTGCGGTCAAAATTGGGGTGTAGTGTGGGGAATGATACTGAAATTTTAATTATGGTCGATATTGGTTTTAAATAATACCCACATTCGCTAATGAAGTAGCGAACATCTGCTAGACTATTTTAATAATAGAGTAAAGTGATTGACTAACGATTCATCACGCTTAGAAGTATTAGTTTCATACCCCATGTTTTTTTGGACCAAATCCGTATCAGATAATTTCGAATCGATCTACAAATAAAGGTCCGTCTGGCTGTTACCCTTCTGTTACCTCCCCGCAGATGGTCAACCTTTTGATCACCTTCCTAAATGTAAAACGAAAGGGATGTGTGGTTCAATTATAAGTCACATAGGTGAATCATTTCTGATAATTTCCTCACAAACTATTTTGAAAAAGTATAACTTGTATAACTTACCAATGTCGGTTCATGATCAAATGTATTCCTTGTATTTTCTTCTATCAGCGATTTATTGTGGCATATGAAGTCCCGATCGCTTTTACGTATTTTAAATGTATATATTAGTCAAGATCTGCAAATTAAACAAAAAATAAATAATAAATTAATAAAAGGTAGTTAAAATACTTATAAAAATTAAATGTGTTGTAAATCTAAAGGGTCTCTGGAACAAATCCCTTGTAAATAATTTTGAGTTGATTTAGAGTTTTAGCCATAATCATCTGTTCGTCTGGTTGGTACGACACCTCTCAAGCCGATTTGGTCCAAATTGTTAATATTCCTTAATGTTCGAAAATAGAGGCTAAAGGAGTATGAAGAGTGAAAATCGGTTCCTTCTTATTTTCTCGTTATTATAAGATGAGACTTTATATCAATTGTGAAGATTGGTTCGTTCTTCATTTTCTGTTATTATAAGATGGGAGTTTTTAAATACAAATATTATTCAAAGGAAACGGGCAATTGAAATATACTAATATTGCCTTCTAATTTTTGGAACATATCGAAAATCTTCTGACAATAAAAATTATGAAACGCATGCCATGTAGTAGATTTGCTTTTTGGGTTCTTATTATATCAACCGAGGTATTTCTTTCTCAAAAACAAATTTCCATTCTACAGACCATGAACTTGATCTTATCAGATGTTGTGTGTGAAACCCAAAATTAGACCCTCTGGCCAACTTTCTTCTACATATATATACTTCCATTGACTAACCTATAATAGCAAAAATATATCGCCAAGATCTGAATTGAATCATGATTACATTTTCACGCTCCCCCTCTCTTTCTCTCTATTTCCTTTGCGGCAAGGAAATTGCATCAAATTAAAAAGTTTGATTTGTCATAATTTTATTGAGAAACTTTATTATTTCCGTTTTGACGCTAAAAAAACTTGACAAACAAGACGGAAATCATAAAAAGGAAAGTCCGAAAAAATCCTCAACATCTTCAAACAAATGTGAACGCAAAAAAATGTATCAACAAAACAAATGTTGAACTTAAATGTAAAACCAAAATAAATACGAACAACAGCGTGAAAGAAGAAAAAAGAAATGGACCAATTCCTCCTAGTCCATCTCTATGAATTTTCTTTGCCAACATGAACAAAAAATAAATAAAACACGTATAAATATAAACTAAAACAACTCAAAGCATTTCTTTTTTTCTGATGCAGAACTCCACTCAAAATCCCAATAGAAGTCCACCGGGAATGGGGATAAAACGAAAAGTTTATTTTTTTCCAAAACATTTTTCTTTTATTTTCTGCATTTTACTTTTTGAACAAAAACCACTAAAAGTGTCATAATTCGATGCCCACGAGACGTCTATATCTTTGCGAATGAGAATTAGTTTGGAAAGCCACTGTCGGCGAACAGCCAGCCAGCCACCGGCAGAGCAGCAGCAGGACCAAATACACAGCCACACAAAAGAAGCATGGAGAGAAGCAACAGGAAAAACAAAACACAATAAACATTTTAAACCTATACAAGTTGCATTTAAGCTCGCAGCATACCGGCAATGGCAGCATACAGCAGGAACGGCATCAGGACCGAAGCAGCACCAGCATCATTTTTAAGCATTAACTTCTAGCTTAACAAATATGACAGAAACATTCACAATAGTTCGAAACTTACAAATACATGTACAAGACTATGCTGTGTGTTTGTATGTGTGTGTGTGTTTATGACATTTATACGTTTCTGCACAAATGTTTACTTAAGTGCAAAACTTTACAATAACACAATGATGGTATTGGATCGGATTAAAGGAGGGCGGACTAGCATAGGCATGAATTTTTGGAAGACTAGCATAGGCGCGGATTTTTGAAAGACTAGCATAGGCGTGGATTTTTTGAAAGACTAGCATAGGCGTGGATTTTTGAAAGACTAGCATAGGCCTGGATTTTTGAAAGACTAGCATAGGCGTGGATTTTTGAAAGACTAGCATAGGCCTGGATTTTTGAAAGACTAGCATAGGCGTGGATTTTTGAAAGACTAGCATAGGCGTGGATTTTTGAAAGACTAGCATAGACGTGGATTTTTGAAAGACTAGCATAGGCGTGGATTTTTGAAGACTAGCATAGGCGTGGATTTTTGAAAGACTAGCATAGGCGTGGATTTTTGAAAGACTAGCATAGACGTGGATTTTTGAAAGACTAGCATAGGCGTGGATTTTTGAAAGACTAGCATAGGCGTGGATTTTTGAAAGACTAGCATAGGCGTGGATTTTTGAAAGACTAGCATAGGCGTGGATTTTTGAAAGACTAGCTTAGACGTGGATTTTTATACCCTTCACCACACTGTGGAACAGGTTATTATGTCTTTGTGCATACGTTTGTAACAGGCAAAAGGAAACGAGATAGACACATGGTTCCTTGTGAGAATATGCATAGAATCACTTTCTAAGTCGATTTATGCATGTCCGTCCGTCCGTCTGTCTGTCTGTACATGTTAAATTGTAAACAAAGTACAGATCGCATTTGTGATCCGAATTGGATGAAATTTAACATAGGTTACTTATTCGGCGCAAGGACGAACCCTATTGAAATTGGGAAAAATCGGTTCCTATTTAAATATAGCTCCCATATATATATTTAACCGATTTAATGTAAACGGTCCCTATATATCTCTCGATTTGCACGAAATTTGGTACAGCCTAATCATTTAGGTCTAGAATGATGTCTGCCAAGTTTCGTAAAAATC